TAAATGAAAGTGTTACAAAGTGGCTCTTATTTGAGGGTTTTTACGGTAGTACTCGAGATATCAGTGAAAAAACGAAAATTGACTAATTATGAAAATTAGGTAATTAATATGCATGTTTTTTTTACCAAAAACTAATAAAATCTGCACATATGTTCAGAGCAACTATGTACCAAGTTTCATCAAAATCCAATGAGTGGTTCTTTAGATATCAGTGGAAGAGTCATGGAACAGCTAAAACTTAGCTAATTATCATGCAAATTAGGTAATTAATATGCACTGATTTTTACCAAAAACTAATCAAATCTGCACATTGGCCCAGAGCATCTATGCACCAAGTTTCATCAAAAACCGATGCATGGTTCTTGAGATAGCAGTGGAAAAGTCAAACACACATACACAGACAGACATACATGTACAGACACACTAACCACAAAGACTCCAAATGTGTGCTTCGCACATGGGAGTCAAAAATTACTAGAAAGTCATTATCATTACAATAAATGGCAAGGACATACATTATTAACCCATATCTTTTTGCACATTTTTTTGGAAGAAATAGATAAAAATAAAAACTTACTATATCCAACAGTTGCAACACCCGGATCATCCATGTCCAAAGCATAACTATTACTTTCTGAGAGGAAATGCATTGACATTGGATCCCAATCTGCGAGACTATCAAAACTAGCATTGCCTGACCCAACATCATTGTCACTACCTACACTAATACTTTGACTACACCCATTACCACTATCACAAGTATCTGCATTACTCTGACTGTCATCTCTGATTGATAAACCTAACAAATGAAAAGTAAAAAAATATGAATAGGGTAGGACAAATCACAGCAGGGTATGACATGGCACACCATAGTGCGACCTCAATCTATGTGCATATGCATACCTGTTACATGTGGACAGGCGAGGTAAATCTAAAAGTCACCTTTCTTGGAATCTATCCAAACTTTAGTGTTTACCATACAACAAGTATGAATTTAGTATACCGGTACAATGTAATAATAAATTACCTTTCTTCAGAGTAGTGGATGTAGCTAACCTATAATTAACAAGTTCTTGGTTTATATTTAACCCATCAAAATTGAACAGAATGGCTGACAGCACACTGCCCCTATGAATAAATAAAACAATCCTTCATTAGTCTCATATAATTCAGAAAATAACATGCATAAAGACGAATCAAATCATTGTCAATGATGTAATCACATAGTTTAATATTATTAAAACCCAAAGGATCTGGCCACATAATTCTGGGGGTGATGTGTACTCCAACATACCGTACTCGACCGTGCCCGGTCAAGCGCCAACTCCCATTTTTGAGGAATTTTTATGTAATCGGGGTCACATTCGGCAAAGCGCCCTTTCATAATGCAACTAATTTAAAACATGGTCTTTGATCATTTGATCATTGCTTAACGAATTGTTTTTATATGATAAAGCGTGGATATCAACTATCGTGAATATGTTGTGAATGCATAGACCATGGTAACCATGCATAAACTACGCTTCAACAATGACCTGTTAATACAAGTAAAATGCGGTAAATATTTCATGCCATATTCAGTTTACCTATGAAAAATTGCTAGTTACTATTTTTTTTCAAAAAAAAACATTTTGTTTATTCGCTGCAATTAATTCCAACAGAATCATATCGATAATTCACTTCCACATTGCATTACCAGAAAGTCTTCAGGAATTTCCGAAGAATTGCGTTGGTACAACACAGCATTTAGAATTGTTAATAACAGACTTGACCCATTAGGTCAAAGGACGTTGTTGCAAATTATGGTGGAAAGTGCTTTTCATTGAGTCTTTGCGTACAAGCCAACACATTCGTCAGTGGAGATAATGAAGATTTTGACTTCGACTGTATTCCACTGGACTTTAATATTTTTAATCTTGTAAATTCAGGTGGTAGGTAATTAATATTGTAATGAAATGTGCATATTTTTGTGACCATTTCTGTTTCTTCATTGTAAAGGTCAATGACGACGCAACTAATTTCATAACTTTATTTTCCCTCAAAGACGTAATATCAATCTGTCACATGGTGAATTAAAATTGTCATTTGCACTTTTTTTCCCTGAGAGGGTGCCAGGTAAGTGCCCACCACTAAAAAAAAAAAAAAAATCACGATTTTCTGAGTTGAGGACCCTGGGCGCTAACGTGGTCGAGTACGGTAAACTTTAATTTAGTAATAATCAAGCAATTGTAAACCAATTAGAGCAGATAATGGTTTGAATAGTTGTTGGTTCTACAAGACCTGACCAGATTTCAAATCATGTTCATGTCTATCATTTTATTTGGTTCAATTCAAACAGAGCCTAACTACATTGATTTTCGATCACATTGTCCGAGATTTGTGACTAAGAAAAATGTAGCATATGAATAACTTAATAGGTGTTATACATGACCCCTAAAAGGTCACACATCCTGGTACTCAGACATGACCCCTAAAAGGTCACACATCCTGGCACTTGTATATGACCTCTAAAAGGTATTTTCTTTGGGTACAAATTACTATCAAAGAGAATTTCTCAATTATTTTCCCCAAAAAATTGAAGCAGGAGTCTTGAAATTTAAAAACAGTTAAATATGGCAAACGTTTACGTTTAACGTTAGAATTTACTGTCGATAAGGGGCAACAATACTCTCAGAAAGTGCCAGGATGTATGACATTTAGGGAGATCATGCATATGACGATATAGCTTTATCTTAATGTCTTACCTCCATGCCCAGTTACGTAGGTATAAAGATTGGCGGTATCCAGTCAACTCTTTAAATTTCTCAATAGTACCCCTAGACCATCTGTCAATAATTGTATTATCATTTGCATCATGAGACAATGGGTGTACATCCTCTAAGCAACACTTCAAAACTTGCTCAGGAAATTCCATGAAATTTTTATCAAGTTTACGAATGCTGGTGACAGGAACCAACTCTACATTTCCAAAATCAACATAGAAAACTTTGATAAGTTGTGAACCATTCTTCTGCATGATGTCCTTTACCTGAGCTCTGTACCATCCACCATCTTCATCAAAGTTAGCACAGCAGATCTCTCCAACATGTGGCATATATTGGTCACAATTCAAATTCTTATAATGGTCGTTCATTTCTTCAATGAAGTAATCTAATTTTCTTGAATGGCTGGTTACCACGTGAACATAGAACTCTGCAGGGGTGCTGATATGTGACATTACCACGTGTATATCTCCACCAGGACCCATTTCTAATGGTACTTTCTTGAGTTGCTGATACACAACAGGTTTTCGAAGAGGTTTAATGTTGCCTCTATTAACGCTATGAAATTTGACAACCCGGGGGCTAGACTGTTGTGAAGTACTTAAAACACTTTTAGCCATATTTTGACGAGCTTTGACCTTCACACCTGAAAGATCGAAAGAAGTATTGGTATGGACCTGAGGTGTCACTGACAAATCAACGTCTTCTTCCGTAGAGCGTAACAATCTAGAATTCAAAGAAGGATTCATCTGCACATCATCTAGCTGAATAATTTCTGAAGTTTCAATTTTATTCTCGGCAACATTTGTTTCACTAAACAACCTTGAACCCAAAGAAGCTTTCATCTGTCTTTCTTGCACATCATCTTGCTGTATAATTTCTGAAGTTTTAATTTTACACTTGGCAACTTGTGTTTCACATGAATCAATAATCTGCACATCAGCTTCCTTCTTCTTGTGTTCCTGAGTTATTCTTTCAGAAAAACCAGTCTCAGTTTCACAGGAACTGGAAATCTGCAAGTTCTGTTTGACCACCTGATTTTCTTGTGATCTACCACCTTTATCATCATTTATACTGCTCAAGCAGCTTTGCAATGGCTCTACCAACTTTTCATCAGGACACTGCTGTGTGCACTGTCGCTCATTCAGTACAGTACCATCAAAGGTATGTTTAGGTGGTTTCGGAGTTTGTTTTAAGGTCTTGTGATCATTTTTATTCAGTGATTCATCATTCTCAATTGGTAATCGGGATAGATCTTTGACATTGGCTTGCTCCAAATTCAATGATGCTTTGGTTTCCACATCTTCACCATCAGTCCCTGTGATCACGGTTTTGATTTTACTCATGTCTAAAACCCCTTCGACAATATCAGCATTTCCAGTTTGCTTCATCAATTGGGCAATGTTGAACTGCATCATTGGAATCAGTTTAGAATCATTGCTCGTATCAACTTGAACAGCAGGAGATGAGAAACTCAAATCAATGGAGAAAAGGTGGCTTCCAGGAACTGTAGAAATCACACCATGTAATGATTTACCATACACCAGATTATTAAAGTAAAGAATCTGTTCATTCAACCAGTATTTAGACCCATTAGGAGGACGTACCTAGAATAAATGGAAGTTAAAAAGGCATCAGGCTCAGTTTTGATGAATTCAAAATGAAGAATCAAAAATGTCCTTAATGAAACCAAATAGGATTTCATATCTACACTTTCAGATGAGCCAGGAAGAATTACTTTTCAGTTTGACCAGCAGATCATTGAAGGAAAACAATATAGTCAAGATTTTGGAAACCATTGTTGGTTCTGTGGGTTTTTGGAAATCATGCAACCAAACCAGTGTTGGTTCTTTGGGATTTGAGCAATTATGCTATCAGTTCAATGTTTGTTCTGTCGGATTTTGGGAAACAGGCAATCAAACCAGTGTTGGTTCTGGAGGATTTTAGATTTCATGCAATCAAATCAGAGTTGGTTCTGTGGGATTTTGTAATTCATTCTAA